AAGTCGGCCAAAGCTACCGGTGCCCGTTACCATCTGCGCGGCTGCTTCTCTCTTCTGCCTATTTATGCTCCAGGAGTGTCTGTCGCGTGCTGCGATCTTTCAGCACCACTCAGGCATGACGCGCAAACAGCGGAGGAGTAGAATTGTCGCGGTCACCCACCTGCCCGTACCAGTTATATTCCAGCATCGTGTCAGGAAAGGAGCCTCGGCCCGAAACGCGCGGCGGCCACTTGTTAGCTCCTGAAACGGCGACGCGGAGAAACGCGGCCCCGGTCGCGCCGTCGTCGCGGGTTGCCGAAGCTTTCGGCGCTCGCCCGTGTCCGCGTGCGCCGGCCAGCTCTGATAGGCAAGCCCGGGCCGCAGAATTTGGGCACTCCCAGAGCTTCTGACCTGTTGATAATGAACCTGAACCCATTATTTTGAGTCAATGAATTGAAAGAAATCGGGCAAGGAATGAAAGCCGCAGGGCCAATTAACGGCATTCTTGGATGTATTACGCCGAGAGCGCCGCTCAGGCAGACCACTTTACGCCTTTTGTCTTGATCCCCTCTGTTATTCATTCATTATTCCGAGCGGGGTCGGGGCGGGGTCACGTGGCCGAACCGCGCGAGGCGTCGCTGTCTCTCGTTGGCGAGGATGGCACGAGAGGAGTGGGTGGGAGGGCGGTGGTGGGGGCGGAATTCCTCGTCCTGACCTCTCCACCTTAAACTGTCAATTGGCCGGATGGGAAAATGCCGGCGAAATCTCGCCTTGACGTCGCGTTGAACCAACGAAGCGGCGAGTGCCGGGTGGATTCGGGACAACGAAGGCCTGGTCGGGTTAAGGAAGGCCCTGCCCCCCCCCATGTCAGATCTTCGCCCACCTCATTATTTTTGCTGACGATTGTACGATGGCGCATTTTCCCCAACGACCCAAAAGACGCTTTTTGCTGCCGACTTTGGCACCGGCAGCGGCTCCTTTTTATCACGTCCGTCCCGCATGAAGCCGCCCGGGTTCCCAGAACTACAGAGGCGAGTTTGTGCCTGTGGATTCTTCACAGTCTGAGCCAGTTGTAACGGGCCATTGGCAACGCATTGCTCAGTTGAGGGCAAACGTGGATGACTGCGAGTCACATGGTCCCGCACAGGAAGAGGGGCAGCGACGTTGACCTTTCAACTGCGAGCTGCCCTTTTAGCGTATTTCTTCTCAAGACTGACGTTCAAAAAGAGGACGGGCAGGAAACAAAGGGAAATTCAATATTGCCGAGCGATAGCAGACTAATCGCATTCGGAAAAGATGTTGTCTGTGATTCTTGAATGTGATTATGAGATCGACGGCGTATCACGGTTTGATTCTCCACTTTAAGTCCCTTCATCTCATCCATGGATGGAAGACAGTTGTTGTCATTTATTTATGCATGCTTTGATTTTGGCGCAATTAGTACTGTTCAGTCCGAGGACTTTTTTTTTTTTTTTTTTTTTTTTGCAGTCTGCCTGCCTGACTTCCGATTGCAACCGGAAAATGAGATTGGCCTTCCTAATTCTGCACGGTGTCTCGCAGTAGCTATCAGTCAATTGGATTTGATGATAGCGCCACCTACGCTGGACTCACTGACTGTCGTTTGCTGCCTATCGCGCCACTGAGGAAGCCCAACTAAGGTTAGAAGATCTCTTTCCTCCTCCCTTAGTCTCCCCGAACCTTTTGGAAGACTTAAAAAGTATGCAGCGGTGGTTGTTTTAAAGTGCTCGATCAATACAGTTGAGTTGAGTTGAGGTTTATATTAAATATATTGTTCCACTTTCTGATGCTTTCAGTCCGCATCATTTTTCATTTCCAAATGTATTTTTTCTCTGCGCCCGTCACCCTGAAGTGAGATATGACTCCAATGGCGTGACTACATCCGTCCAAAGTCACACAAACTTAATCATGCAATTTTTTTCTCTGTTGTTTTGAATGTCGATGTTCCCCATTTAATGGCACATCATTGTGTATAGCCCATAAACGTAAACAGACACACGAGGGGTCCCTGAATACCAATTATGTGAATCTTGTACGCCCTCCCGCCCCACTCTGAGCTTATCTGGCCTCTGGGGAGGCCTGCCCCCCCC